GGTTTCGGTTTGGATTAGAATGGATACAAAAGAATTATTATCAAACAAAAACAAACAAAAATCATATGAAGTATTATTTTTTGTTTGATTCGGTTTGTTTCAATTAAGATTTGTTTTTTAATAACATATGAAGATTTTATTGAATATCTTTAGTTCGGTTCAATTTTTTGCGGGTTTTCTCAGTTTCGATTCAATGCGGTTTAATACTTTTTGGAAGAAATACTAATAAACTCAAACGAAATTACATATGGACCAGTCTCTATTCATATTAGTTCAATTTGGTACGATTCAGTTTGGTTAAACCAAACTTATATGCCCACCCTTAAGAAATTTAATCAAATAGAGTACATCAAGTGATAGTTGTATTTGTTAAAAAACTATCTATCATAAAATGGCATCTTCACATATAGTCTCTTTGTCGCGCTAAGTTTGTCTCATCTTTCTTTTTTGATCCATCCCGCTAATATCTTCTCATCTTTCATTTTAAAACAATCCTGCTAATATTGTCTCGTACGAACTTCAGTAAACGTTATATGGTTCTAAGAGCATCTCCATTCATGATACTCAAGTTTACGGTTTTTTATGGCTTCTTATTGTCATGTCACTTCCACATATGATAATCTCAAATAATATCCAAACCTATCAATTTCTCCTCATCCATGATCTTAACTTACCTAGATTTTTTTACAAAGCTAGTTATTATTAGTTGCCTAGAAAATGGGAAGATGAGCCTAAAAATTGTGAATAATCTCAAAATAATCGAGCTTTAGAATTGCATACCAGATTATTTTATTAAATAATCTCAACTCCTCATCCATGATCCCAAAAAAATCCTCCACATCATCAAAATGATCCCAAAAATAATCTATGGATGGGGATGCCCTAACTCATTCTTATTTTATTCTTACTTTATCAATTCAATTTCAATCACATATACTCACTTTTCTTAATAACCATCTTATTTCCTTTCCTTGATACTCACTTTTCACTTTAAGATGCTTAACTGAATAACCCAGGTGTAATATAGAAAAGGCCACACCAACTTTAAAAAACACTTTATTTTAACCAAATACACAGCTCACCCAACCCCAAAAATATAATGACCAGCAAACCCAGTCACCTAGCCCAAACTATTTTCATTGATCAGTAAAATATGTGGCTCTTGCCATCGTCGTATTCTCTTGCTTCTACGTTCAAAAAACCATCTTCGATTTCGATCTTGTAATTTTTACTACATTTTCAACTTCCTTGTAGGGATTCTTGGATGAACTTTTCAATCCCCACCTCAATCTACCTAGCATGGGGTGAGATCCCTGCAACATTTCGCTCAAGAGCATTATGTGAGCAACAAAAGTAGGCGCGATGAGAGTTTCTGAGAACAACACAATTCTGACTCTTCATTGAGTATCTGTATGGTTTTTCATTTATTCTTTTATGATTTTGTGAAGATTTTTTTTTCTGGATCTTAGTCAGTTTAGATATGATCCTTTTTTGGCATGTACAACTGTTATTTACAGAGAAGAATGTGGGTTTAGATATGCCCTGTTTTCACCATGTTCTCTTATTAAATCAATTGAGTTTAAATTATATTGTCAAATGACTCAAATCTTAAGAATATTATACGGAGTATGAATAATATTTCCGTTCGTTTATTTCAAATGCAGAAAAATAATTTACTTTTAGAAACATGCTTGTATCAATAGCATACATTCGAAAAAGATAAGCATTGTTTTAAGCTAACTTAACTTTCAATTATATGTTTGTTTTGTAATTACTCATCTCGCCGGACTATTTGGTTCATATGTTTTGTTTAAGTTTCGAAGTCTGAAAACATAAAAATTGTTTTTTTTTTCAATTCTTCAGACAGTTCTACACATCATTATATTTTGAAAAATAATCTTGTAAAAGAGTTTATAAGTTAATGGCTATAAATATGGCTCAAATAAAGTATGTCTATATTTTAATGACTTTCATCTTGAAGTTTTTTTGTGGTTTATTGATTCATTATAAATTTATAGATTCTTTGTTTTAAATATTCAGTCCTTTATAAAATGTTCTTTTATTTTGAAAAACCCGTCAAACTTGCAATTTCTGACTTCTTACATCTTGGGTATCATCCTACACCGCTTTAGACAGTACATGAACATGGGTGTCTGATCCAACTAATAAAAAAGATTGCAAATAATTTCACAGCTTAATAACATTAAGTCAGTAACTCATTTAAAAACGTTCATAATAATATGGAAGTTCAAATAGTTTCCTTGCACCATGAAGTTTATATGGCATACGAATGTCCTATATTGAAATGGTTGTTAGAATAGCATATAATAATTATATTAACAATATTTTGTAATATTTAACAACTCTATAATCTAATAATAATTTGATGATTGATAATACGTAATATAAAACATAAGTAATTCATAATACACAGATGGTGGGAATCTATATACATGAGCAGAAACATTACAAACACGCACCTCTCGCGCATGGACTGCCTAGGTATACTTGCATTCGTTTATGTCCTTTATTTTATACCCTCCATGTTTTTTTTTCAATTCTCTCAATGCTTTAGACTCGATTTTGGAATATGCTGCATCCATGAAGTATATATACACATGATCTTGCAGTGGGATATGTGCGGGCTTAGCATGACAGTATGACACATAACATAGGGCCGGGAAACTTCATTATGCTGCTACTTTCAATATATACTGCAGATGTATTATTACTCTCTATTATTGAGCTTCCCAATAAACTCTTTTAAATGCTGTATTGGACAACTAAACATCAGCCATGTTTAACTACTAAACACCCAATAAGAAACCTTCTTTTGTAAATAGCAACTACCAAGAATCATTCTGTTGGGCTCATTTCATTACAAATGTATCTGCCGATGCATATTTTACAAATTTTCAATTTGTAAATTAATTAAAAACCTATATTTCTGTGAAATTCACCAAATGATTCTAGAATGCACCATTTTGGCGGGAACTTGCTGAGCAAGTTTTCTTTTGCTATTATATTACAATAGATTTCAGGAATAATAAATGAAATTAGAGAGGTAGAGAATATTTGAATGAGGTTGGCTAAATAAAAAACCACATGGCCTTTTTTGATTGGTTAGTCACAATTTTTTTGCCAGCACCCATTCTTGACCTTGCATAGTGGAGATCAAGTAGGGTTAACTTTTTTTTTACCTCCATTGACCTCCCATAGTGGGTGCCCTTAGAAATAGAAAATTTCAAAAAGAAATTGATGTGGGGAACAATCAGATGGATGGCTATTGGAGAATGGGCATGCGTTGATCTTAGTGCTGTGTTGTGTTTTTCTCTTCAGCAGAAAAATCTTTTCGGAAGAAGAGGGCAGTTACGAAACTCGGCATGGGCACTATAGGAAAACTATGGAAACACTGATGCTAAACGCTGAGAATTTCGGCATTTTATATTTAGGCTTTTTCAAACAAAAAGCCAATCGAAAATGTTATCTAACCAATCACCTTTATCAGTAGATTGATTTAGTCAAAAGGTCAAACATGATCAAACTGAAATGGGACATAATGAAAGTGTAAGGCATTATTGTTTGGTGACAGAGCAAGGTTAGAGTTGGGTTTTTTATGATTAGTATGACCTGGAATAAGATTTTTTTGGGAGAATTTAATTAGTGGGTGTGGTGAAAGGGCCAGATGCGTTGGCCAACTATGAAACAAAATCACAAAGATTGGTCGAGTGGCGGGAAAATTGGACCAAGTGACCAAGGTTCGAAACCCGCAGCGACCGTATGAAAGTTACAGAATCTGAAATAATGTTGGACCTCTGGTGCGCACGTGTATAAGACCTACTGCCGCTTTGCTGACTGAGTCACCGTGATTAACCTCCCACCATCCTGTCGGGTCGGGGTGGAGGGCTCCTAGGGTGGGAGATTCCACCTTTTGGACCAAATCACAAAAGACAAGAAAAAGGCAGGTGGTTAAAAGACGTGCTAGATGTCTATATGGAGACATGGAGTACGGAGTATTATGTTTAAGAGAAGTGATCTCGTCCGGCTAAGAGGCCGTTGCAAAGCATTCTTTTTCGACGGAGACTTAAACAACTTTTTCATCAAATACGCACCCTTTGTTTTTGCGTGCTGAATTGTGTAATAATAACAAAAGTGAGGTTGAAGTTATTTTTCTGGCTGCATTGTCTGAAGTTATAGTAGATGACTATTTTAGCTATTTTTACATATAATTTTTTCTTTATTTTATTAATAAAATAGTTTTTTAAAAAATATTTTTGTTAAATCAGCAGAATCAGCTAATAGAGCCACTTCAGCTAGAACTTCATAAATTTCAGCAGAATCAGCTGATTTTCGTGTTAGAGCCCGTTTAAAGTGCATCCGATGAATTTTTTATGAACTTTTGTGAGCATGTTCTATATGAAGTGCAATATTTTTCAATAATTTATTTATTAACTGACTTTCCAAATTAATTTTAAACAGAAATTTTGTGGATAATCTACCCCTCATATAGAACATGGTCACATAATTTTATCAATAAATGTTTTCCAAAACACCTCAAATGGGATCGACCAGACACTCGCCAAGTGCGTCTGAGGAGATCTTTACTCTTATGTTTAATATATCAGTGTTCTGTTGTAATGATCATGGACTAAACAATAGGATTAAGCCTAATAATCCATGACCATTACGGTAGAACACTACAATGGTCATGGAACATATTAAACATATTACACATTACGGTCTCATTTGTAAGATACACGTTCCATTTTTGGTTGTTCAAAAAATATGAATACTTCACTAATTCTTTTTAAAATTGAACTTCACTAATTTTTTCTTTCTCACTATATCCCTCAATCTATCATTTCGTCTTACTTTTTGTGGATTCATTCTTTTCTTTCTTATTTTTTTTGGATCAAATGTAAATATATATATTAACACCCAAGCAAAATTTAACATGTACAATGTGTCCAAAAATCAAAAGCCCCCCCACCCCCTCCTCTGGAGTATTACGTAAGAAAAGGAGAGGGTAAGAAGAGGCTTATAGTCTAGTCTAAGTCAATCATGGCCTATACGCAGAAATATACGGCCAATAAGTCAAAAATCAAAACTATGAACGATGATGCAAGGTGCACGCACACAAGTCCAAATGTATAAGTCGGTGCCGTGGCATCCAAAAAGTGCTTGACTCCACTCAAAAGTCATTCAAGTCATGTGGGTAGATGCTAAAGAGTATCTTGTATACCACATGCTTGATCTTCGCAACAACATCCTCCTCCGTTTTCCTCCCTTCGTCAAATCTGGCCTCATTCCTCGTGTGCCAAATATAGTAGACCGCAGCACAGAATGCAAGTCGGGCAGCCTTGGCTCTCATTGTTGCTCCTTTGCGCGTCTTGGTGATCCATTTGATTGCACTAAGGAGCGTGTTCATCTCGTGTCCAAGTCCAATCCAAACTCTAACCTTGTCCCATACCCTGCATGCACTACTACACAAAGGGGCTATTATGTCGGTTATTTTGACCCTTTAACGTCGGTTTTCAAACCGACATGTAAGTAAGAGACGTAAAAGATATGGACATTTGATGTCGGTTAACAAACCGACGTAATAAGTGTGCTTTAAAAAATGAATATAACCTACCACGTCGGTTACTCTAAAAAACAGACGTCGAATACAACTTCAAAAAAAAATACTTATTACGTCAGTCGTTTCCCGGAACCGATGTTAAACGTATTTTCACAAAAATATAAAAAAAACTTATGACGTCGGTTGTAGACAAAACCGACGTTAAAAGTAATTTTTTTTAAAAAATAAATAAATCACCACTCGAGTATTGCAGATGTTTAAAGCTTCTAAATCAACATAAAATTCTCCAGCGGATTGGAACATCGTAAACTTGAGTACTTGACAAGGCCAAAGACAAAAATCGTATTAACACACCATTAAAAACACTCGCTAGCAGCCAAAAAATTAAAAACTGGACTTTATTGCATGACATATTACAATTGTTCACTTGAATAAATCTTCAAATTCTACCAATTATAGATGTAATCAGAATTATGGATGTCACTTTTGTACTTGCCCAAAAGGTAAAAAATACAATTGAATGGTTCTTCTTTAACACGTGCTTCCTCAAAGATGCTCTTTTTATATGCCTACAAAAATATACTATCGTTAGAGACATGCAAAAGAAGTAAGAAAGTGTTAGAAAAAAATATAAAATAATGCTTGAGCTAAAAACTAACTATTCAATTAAACCTAGCTGCACAACACACTAGCTTCAGCAAAAAAATGCATATTACCTAATAGAAAACAAAGAAGAGAACAAACATAAAACAACAAGCTAATTCCATTTTAAAAGAAACATACGACAGCCCACTCTATCTCCATCTCATTTGACTTGGCTTCAGATTAAAACCTTTAAGTAAATTTTCTAGTTTCTACAACACATTGCATGAATATAAGCTGAGTTAAGAGTTGGAATTTATTCCTCACCGAACTTGCTTCTCCAAGTGGCATTACAAACATTCATGGCCAGACGGGCACTAGCCTCCTGCCTTTCTCGTGCTCTGTCATCGCCGTCAATTGTTTCTCACCTTCGCTTCGTCGTCCTTGTTCTTCTTAATCACAATCTTCAGCTTCAGACACAACAGTTAGGTCAGACCCGCTTCAAGACATCCGGCCCCAGTTATTCTCCCTTGAATGACCCATCACCGAACTGGACCAACCGCCCCCCTAAAGAGACGATTCTACCGGACGGATGCGACTACGAACACTGGCTAATCGTTATGGAGTTCCTCGACCCGAAACCGTCAGAGGAAGAGATGGTCAATAGTTATGTTAAAATCACAGCTTCTGTTGTTGGGACTGAAGAGGAGGCCAAGAAAAAGATTTACTCTGTTTGTACAACAACTTAAACTGGCTTTGGCGCTTTGATTTCTGAAGAGCTATCATACTAAGTGAAAGCAGACCTATTTGTGGATGGAAAAATCATTAATCAGCCACAGTACATATTCATTGAGAGGCAAAGCAATAACCGGCCTCAACCAAGGTATGATAGGCGTCGAGAAACATTGCAGATCAATAGGAGGGCAAAACCTGTACAAGGAAATAATACGTTCAAAGGCAACACATAGTTACCTTAGTATCTCTGTACAACTAATCTTGAAATTATAAGTTCTTGCCAAACCTGTCATGCATTATCAATACATACATGGCTCATCACTAGAAATGCAGTAATACAAGAGTTAAGGTATCTTACAGTGAAGTCTATCGTTCCAACAAGCCTTAAACCAAAACAGTTAAGGTAAAAGACTCGGTGCTGAATCAAGAACAAATGAGCAATCCCTATTATATAAATTAGCAAACTATTGATCCTATCAATACACAAATTAAGGAAATAGATGAAGCAAGTACTCCCACATGTAATTGCAAGAAATATATGATATAACACTACCCAAATTTAAAGACATTAAAAAACACACACAAACACACACACATATCCCGCCAACAAGTTACTAAACACCATCATTAAGAAAACCAAAGTAGGAGAAGCTAGGAAAGAAAGCTGAATCTGTAGTACATAAATGACTTTACTGTGATTACTCTTCGAATATATAGTTCCCATCAGATTAATGGATGACCCGAGACCATCTTCTCCAATGAATACTTCAACTATGAACGTTCTTCTTTTCCATTTACTCATAAACTGCAAAGAAAACAATTGCAAAATTCATTCGACCCTAATAAATATGAAATTGTCTATTCATATTTACATTAGCAGACTAGGTTAAACAAAAATATCAGATAATGAAAAAGGAAAAAGGGGAAAATAGATAGAGAGAAATTGGAAAAGGGGGATGAGGAGTGGTCACCTACATGGGATGACACACAACCAATCAATCGAAGACTCCAATATACACGAGAAACAGAGCTACTGTAATTTAAAGACAAATACAGTCAATCAAAGTGGTCGTATTTCAAATCTAATTGAACTAAATTTAACAACTTCACTTATATTCGGACATTAAAAACACTCTTATATAACTACAGCGAAAATGTTTACAAAAAGATTAGTAAGAACTATAGTGCTTTAAAAGTGACTTGTTACAGACCTGTCAAACCTCAAGTTTCCCTGTAGAAACATGACTATTCTATTGTAGACAATTCGCCATTCGAAAACCATTTAAGCCAAATGGCTCGGCTTCACTGTATATCCCTTAAAGTAGTGAGTAGTAGACGAATGTATAGCACAAGATAGAATTGAAAATCAATGCAAAACAATATAATTTAGTGAAACTTAGTCATACCTGAAGTACTTAGGATATACCTACAAGAGACAACAAACTAGAATTTCACCTGATAATAGAATCAAAATGTTGTAAGCATTGAGCTTGTAGCACCAACCTGATAAAACAAAATTGCACATGGAAAAATAGGTAAAAAGATAAAAACATGATATTAGTTAAATTAAAGAATCAAATTTTTTTGGAAGACTACAAGTATACACATAAATAAAAACTAAAAACAAGCAAAAACTGATTTTATGTTAGGGATATACTTTCCCAAAAATGCTGCAATTATATTATTGAAGAAAAGAACTCAAGAAAAATGACAATCTCAGTCAAACATGATATTATAAACTTGATTGTTAAGAACTATAACATAAATTAAACGTACTCCTCTAATATAATACAGGTTATACTTGATTGTTAAGGACTATAGCCTAGATGTTCTCCAAGTTTCTAAATGGCACCAACGTTATGATGCTGAATGACAAGCTTCCCATTTTTATCACTCTCTTACATTTTATTCCCATAAATTATCATCTGCGAGCAATTGATCATCTCTAGCCCTAGCACATGGATATGCGCTCACCAAGAAATTGTAATACAATAGAAATCAGTATATACGTTAAATCATTCGAGTATAAAAATGGATCTCAATTGCATATACCTCCAGTATACCTCCAATAAAAAATGGATTCACAAGTTTTCAAGTTGGAGGTTTAAAACAAACTGGCGGTTGACCTTATTTTGACATTCCTCTCAGTTCTTTTCAGGGGATTTAAAGCTTAAAAACAAACTGTTAAACTATACTATAAGCTGGGCAAACATAATGAAATGATGGATGCTTATAGAGAAATGCTGACTTACAGTGAGAGGTGCCATTTAAATCAAAGAGAAGAACAAGCAAAAGCAGCAACATAAACAAAAATACCGTGTAGTTAAATTAAACAGGAACCATATAAATCAAAGAGAAGAACAAGCAAAAGCAGCAACATAAACAAAAACACTGCGTAGTTAAATTAAACAGGAACCATATAAATCAAAGAGAAGAACAAGAAAAAGCAACAACATAAACAAAAACACTGCGTAGTTAAAACTTACAGTGAGAACTGAGAAGTGCATTAACAATATAATGGATTTTGTCTCTGGATCAGCGAGTCAGAACTTCAGCTTACTTCAAACTGACAATGTGAGATTCTATGAGATCCAACTCAGCAACACTTTTAGAATAGACATCTCAGTTGGAGACTGTTTTTCTAATTCCCCTCAATTTTTATCTACATGGCTTTGCACTCTTAGAAGCATATGTAGTCTTAGTATTTCTTGGTTTAAAATATACTCATGAACATTCCACTTAATTAGTCCACTGCTAATTAAATTAATATATACTCAGTCTATGATGCGTTAAAATCACAATACTATTCTTAGTTTTGCCTTTAGTTACTGTATTGTGATTAAGAACACGAATCAGAAAGAGCTTCCAGGGTAAATGGTAGCTGTAGTATGAAGTTAATAGTTTATTCTCATGTACAAGCTTCAAATGTGTCTTAAACCTCTTAAGTGTTGTACCCCCAGTCCACCATTCATAAATATCAATCGAAATATCACAAAAGGAGCATAGCAGGTTAAAAACAGGGTCTCAAACAGTCCTACTATCCCACTCAAGATTAAGCTACTTAATTGTTTTAATCAAAATATCACAAAAAAACAGAGTAACTTGCACAAGGAGATTGGAGAGGTTGAGATGGTGGAAGCCAATCAGAACCCAGGCTATCTGAGTGAAGTCACCACCAATGACTACCCGACAACCCCCAATTTTTTAGTCTACAGAGTCAAACGACCCCCATTTTGATAACCCATGAAAAAACAGACAAACCGGCAAGCAGAGAACTAGTGACGGGCGGCAAACTCTTTCCGATTAATAGAGTTTAACCGCTCGCGTGCACCCTTTGGTTGAGAAAATTGAGCTTTTACACGCTATTAAGGGAATCGGGCAAGTGAGAGTGGAGAAACATACCTGTATAGAGGATGACTCAGTTCTTCGAGTTTGATGGCGTACAAGAGACTAAGCGGCAGTTTTGGCTTCAAGATGGATGCGCAGGCCGCAGGTCTGGCTTGGGAGAGACGAGAATGACGAGAGTGAAACTAAACCCTAAATAAACCAGATGTCGGTTGAAAATAAACACCCTTATTAATACTCCGTTGAAGGTGTACCTATTAGGCTATTACGACGGGCGTTAGTTGAACCGTCCAGAGAAGGTGTGTCTAGTTTTTTTTGAATAGCTTATTACAACGGTTTTTTATTATAACCGACGTTGAAACAAAAATCATTCATTACAACGACTGTTTTTTAAGAACCGACGTGATACGTGCGACGTGGAATGTCATATTTGAAAACCGACGTCAAATGTCCATATCTTTTACGTCTCTTACTTACACGTCGGTTTGAAAACCGACGTTAAAGGGTCAAAATAACCGATGTAATAGCCCCTTTGTGTAGTAGTGCTCGCCATTATTTAATGCTTCAACAACTCTAATAGCTTGACTCTCTTTGAGAATATCATACCGTTTGCATGAAGCTCCAACAACATTCCAGTGGTGTCAATTTTAAATTTTAAATTTTTTTATATACCTACCTCTGGAAAAAAAAATCCAGTGGTGTCAATTGACACCACTGGCCAAAGGGTGGCTCCGCCACTGCACAAATCTACTTTATCTTAAAAACCACACCACACTCCTTTGTCCCAAACTTGGGACGGAGGTAGTAATAGATTAATACACAAATACACAATCACAAATTCACAATCGGAGCAAATAACACATTCACACAATCACACATAATAGATTAATGCTAAAAAAGCAATTGCAACAAGTCGACAAAGGCAATTGGAGTTTACGTGGAGGCTGTAGCCAGCTGGACTGCTGGAGGGAGGCGCAGAGGCAGAGCCTCACGCCCGCACAGGCAGACAGCCGGACAGGGACAGCGGACGACGTAAGAGGCGGCGCGGCGCGGCTGATTTCCTGATGTTCACGGTCTTCCGTCTTCGGTCTAACGGTCTTCCTCGCAGTCCGCAGAGTCGCAGGTTCGCAGCTCCTAAGTGATATCGCAGCTCTAATTGCATAGGCCTAGAGGCGAGAAAATTAATATGGGATGGGGCTATCACAGCTCTGATTGCCTAGAAAATTCTAGTTGTTTACACAAAAGTGCTTCCTTTTGTCACGCCCCAGACCGCATCCAAGCGCGTGTACAACCGCTGTGTGATTAAGTGACGTCACTCGCAAGTCAACCTCACATAATCACACAAGGCATTCATGAACATCGTTCACACCATACTCAGTAGTAAACATACATAAAAACATCACATCATAGATTGAATGAATAGCGGAAAATATTCAACAGTCAATCATAAGCCACATATGGCAAAATGTAGGCTCGCAGTCCAAAACAATGTAATATTAAAAAAGTATCCATGAGCATAGTTTATGATTTAAAATAATAAAGGAAGCACGAAACACGTCTTCCTCTAGATTCTTTCCACCCGTGCAAAGGTGTAGACAACAGGCTCTAGCTTCAACCTGAAATGGTGGCCCCCCCGAAGGGGTCAGTACAAGTACCGAGCGAGTAGCAAGCTAAATGTAGAGTAACTAACGTTTCAAGTATAAGACCCAAACATAGGGTGATACATATACTTATACTTCTTTACCCCAAGTTACAAAATACATATCAGTACTTATATACACTTGAAAATACCCGACCCGTAGGTCATTGTTTAATTGGGAAAAATAATAGTAGTCAATGTCCTTGACTTAAAACCCCAACCCACCCATAGACCTATGAGTGTATAGGACTCCTCTTGTCCAAGTCAAATAATCATAAGGACACCGCCCGATCCTGAATTACTAAATAGTAATCTATGAGTTTTGAGGATACACGCCCGATCCTTGGGTACTCCACCCTATATAACCGAGTTTTGAGGATACCGTCCGATCCTTGGGTGCTCCACCCTATATAACCGAGTTTTAAGGATACCGCCCTATCCTTGGGTGCTCCACCCTTTATAACCGAGTTTTGAGGATACCGCCCGATCCTTGGGTACTCCACCCTATATAACCGAGTTTTGAGGATACCGCCCGATCCATGGGTACTCCACCCAACCTATGATCTACCACATATCATACTAGATAGGGCCTATATCATAATCAATAAACAAGACTAGACCAAGTCTTAAGGCCTAAACGTAATTTTATCCATGCAACTCATGCATTAAAATTAGCATATAGGTAAAGTAAGACCAAACCGGCACCGGTCAACTCTCGGTTGACCCGCCATTCCAAATCCAATGTGTGTCAAACTTAGTCACAATATGTACTAAGTTATAAATAACTTTTTTATGCAAATTTCATCTCTATACATATTACATATGTTTTTATGAGCATTTTCACTTCACAAATCATGCATATTTCAATAGTTCACTTCATACAAGTCTAATCACTTTAATTGGCTAATCACATGTTTAATTCATTTAAACATTTTTATGAACACACATAACATATACTTAGGTAATCTCATGCTTAACCCAAAAATTACAAGACATTAAGCCATCCACTCACCTCAAATGAGCTTTAGGAAGATTCTACTCTTCTTAGTTGAACTCCGGCGAGACTCCGGCGAACTCCGGCGAAACTCCGGCGAAACTCCGGAGAAACTCCGGTGAAATATAGAACCACTTTAGTCAAGCTCCTAACATGGTTTTATCATTACAAAACCCATATCAACACAAATAACCCCTAAAAGGTTATTTTCCGGCGAATCGATCGTTTTGGCTTCTAAGTCCGTTCTTGGACTTAGAACCACCTTCTAAACCATTATGCCACACTCTTATAATGTAGGATAATCCTAAAGTTTCTTCATATGATACACATTTCATATGGTAGAAGAAAAGGAGAAAATAATTATGATAAGGTCATTACCTTAATCCTTTCACACTTTTAGTGCTTTTGCTCATTTTCATGAGATTCTTTCTTTTGAGCTCTCTTCAACAATGGAGGAGGAAGGATGGAGATTGGTTTGATCTTGCTTGGGGTGTGCTGGCCGCAGGTATGAGGGAGAGAGAGGGTGATGATAGCTCTTTTGTCTCAATGACCAAATGAGTGTGGGTGAGGTCCACCTCATTTATTGTTTGATGCCATTTCTCTCATCTCAAAATCCCCTCCCATGCCATCCTATCCTACCAGCCGGCCAAGCTCTCAAATTCAGTGGCAAAATTCGTGGGTTGACCCCCACTCATGTGGGAGGTCAACCCTTTTCGTCCCGAAGTGTACAATCGGTCCCGAAAGTTGTATTTCTCGGACTGTTTTAATTATATTTTATTTTATCGGGCCAAATAAAATATATTGTGTGATTTAAATCACTATGAACCTTTAGAGTAGTTGTAGATTCCCCAACTTTAATTTAGAAGTCTCCGAAATTCAATTCAGACTGTTATCCGGTAATTTACCAATACCGGTAATTGGGCTTCGTTTGACGGACGGGTCAACCCTAAGACCTTTCTATGGCCCAACTAAAATATATACCATAATATAATAATTATATAGACCAAGATGAATATAATATGTGGTCCCGGGATTACCGGACGGTCCCCGCTCCCAGTGTGGGCCCCACGTGCAGTTCACTATTCACGCGAAAGAAATAACCAAAAATTTACAACCACGTAAACTCATAAATAAATATTCAAGATTTATTACATTATTTACTAAAAAGTAAATATATTTGGGGACGGTGTTACAAGTTCACCCCCCCTTATTTGGGATTTCGTCCCCGAAATCACGTGTCTAATCGAAAAGAAACGGGTATTGCTCCCTCATTGAGACCTCGGTCTCCCAGGTTTCTTCTTCGACTCGATCACTCCTCCAAAGTACCTTCACCATAGGAATCTACTTGTTCCTAAGCTTCTTTACCTGTTGACCCACTATCTTCACCGGTTCCACTGCGTATTGTAAGTCCTCTCGGATCTCTACCGGTGGTCTCTCAAGAATATGTGATGAATCTCGTACATATTTCTTGAGCATCGATACATGGAACGCGTCATGAATCCTTTCAAGTTCAGGTGATAACTTGAGACGATAAGCCACGACCCCAATCCTCTCAAGAATTTCAAACGGACCAATGTATCGGGGGTTAAGCTTACCCCTCGATATGAATCGGATGATACCTTTCCAAGGAGAAATCCTTAGAAACACCTCATCACCTACTGCAAATTCTAACGGTCTACGTCATTTATCGGCATAGCTCTTCTGCCGATCTTGGGCAGCCTTAAGTCTATCTCGAATAACCTTCACCTTAGCCTTGGTGATCTCGATAAGTTCTATACCTTCGAGCTTGGCCTCGCCAACCTCGTCCCAACACAACGGCGTCCTGCATTTCCTCCCATACAATGCCTCGTATGGAGGCATGCCAATACTCGTCTGATAACTGTTGTTATAGGCAAACTCCACTAGTGCCAAATGTTTGTCCCAACTCCCCTGGAACTCCAAAGCACACGCCCTATGCATGTCTTCCAAAATCAGTATCACCCGCTCGGATTGTCCATCCTTCTGAGGGTGAAACGCCGTGCTAAACTTCAGTGTAGTCCCCAATGATGCTTGGAACTTTGGCCAAAACCTAGATGTGAATCTTGGGTCCCTATCCGAGACGATGGATATTGGAACTCCGTGTAACCTCACAATCTCCTACGTGTATAACTTGGCCAAACATTTAAGAATATAAGTGATGTTGATAGGCAAGAAGTGTGCACTTTTGGTAAGCCTATCAACCACCACCCACACTGCATCGTAATTGTTCACCGTCCGTGGTAACCCTACCACAAAGTCCATGGTGACATGTTCCCACTTCCATTCTAGAATGGTAAGTGGCTGCAAAAGTCCCGTCGGGTGCTGATGCTCCGCCTTAACTTGTTGACAAGTAAGGCATCGACTCACATACTCCGCGATGTCTCTCTTCATACCGGACCACCAATAACTTTCCTTCAGGTCTCGGTACATCTTTGTACCTCCTGGATGCATAGCATAAGCTGAAGAATGGGCTTCCTCGAGTATGGATTTCCGGAGCTCCTCATTATGTGGTACGCATACGCGATCTTTGAATAATAAAAGGCCA